CTTGAAGGAACAAAGAGAAAACCTGTTGGGAGGATTAGTATAGTGCTGGAAGATGAGGTATACTGTATTGGAAACAGATTTAGGAGGATTTGGGTGCTAGGTTAAGAAATTTGGAGTTTATTTGCAATTCAGGGCCACTGGAAAACTTTGAAGAGGAAAGTGACATAATTAAAAAGTTGGTGGGCAGGATAATAAGTGCCATATCTAAACAGTTTTCCAGTTACTATGCTCTGTTTTATATGTGTGTTGAATAAACGTGCAAGATACATATATATATTTATTTTTTTGCTGATTAGAAAACTGATGCCTGGAGAAGTTGATTAAATTGAAGGGAGACTGTTTCAGGGGTCTAGGCATGAGCTATACTAAACCTAGGTGGCAATGCCAGGAGATAAAAGGAAAGTAGAGGTATTTAGGACTCTGCAAAGGAAGAATCAACAGTTTGGTGGCTGGTTAGATCTGAAGATTAAAGAGAGGGAGGAGTCAAAGCTTACTTTAAAGTTTTGAGTCTGGATGCCTGGAGAGTAATTAGTAAAAGTAGGGGAAAGAATGGTAATGATCAGATAAAGGGAATAGAAAATGGTAATTAACAGAAATATGGCAATTGGAAAGGGTAGTTGTTTTTTTTTTGTTTGTTTTGTTTTTTTGTGACAAAGTCTCACTCTGTCGTCCAGGCTAGAGTGCTGTGACGTTAGCCTAACTCACAGCAACCTCAAACTCCTGGGCTCAAGTGATCCTCCTGCCTCAGCCTCCCCAGTAGCTGGTACTACAGGTGCGAGCCAGCATGCCAGCTAATTTTTTCTATTTTTAGTTGCCAAACTAATTTGGTCTTTTTTCTATTTTTAATAGAGACAGGGTCTGGCTTTTGCTCAGGCTGTTCTTGAACTCTTGATCTCAAGCAGTCCTCCTGCCTCAGACTCCCAGAGTGCTAGGATTACAGGCAGGTAGTCGATTTGAGAGTAGGTGTTTTGCTCATGGGGGTTTTGGACAGTGGGGGTGGTGATTTTGCCGAGAGACAAATGTCCAGGGAATAGGCAGTTGAAGATGAGTTTAGAGTTCTGGGAAGACGGCCAGGCTGAAGACAGATTGGAAAGTGGTCATTGTGAAATCATGGGAGTTAATAAGCTAGAGCTTGGTGACAAGAGAAGAAAGTAACACTAAAGGGGCAGAAGGGAGGAAACCAAAGTTTTTACAGACAGTTTGCTTAATATTGCTTTTAATTGCTTCATAATATATTAAATATAAATTTAAGACAATGCTTAGATAGAAGAACCTTCTGTGATTTGGGTTCTGGTTTACTTCAGAATCTACCCTTTCCTGTAATGGTGCTCATTGATGAGAGTAGTCAGAGTCAAAACTAGTTACAAATTGTAGTCTAAGAGTTGTGAACAAAATTCTGATTCTGGAATTGACTCTGGCCACGGTTTTGCTCAAGTTATCAGTTAAAACTTGTTTTTGTTTTAAAGCTGGAAAATAAATTAATTACTTCTCTTTAAAGAAAGCTAATATGTTACTAGGTTAATGCTGTGAATCATAATGATTTCTTTATAGATTAGCTTTTTCTGCATTATAAGCCACTCCACTTTAGTGGCTCAAAACAACAACCATTTAGCTCATGATTTTGTGGGCTGGCAGTTTGGGCTGGATTTGGTCAGGAAATCTTCTGGGGCTGGCTTGGCTCACCAGTGTGTCTGATCAGCTGCCAGATTGTCTGGGAGCTGGCTCGCCTAGGACGGGCTCAGTGGGCACAGCTGGCTTGTCTCTGCTCCACGTCTCTCATCCTCTACCAAACTAGCTCAGGCTTGTCTGCAACATGGTGGCCAGGCAGGGCTCCAAGAGAACAGGTGAAAGCATGCAAAGCCATTTGAGACCTAGACCTGAAAGTTGTACGCTGTCACTTTCACTACATTCTTTTGGCCAAAGCAAGCCACAAGACCAGCTGAGATTCAAGGAGAGAGGAAATAGACTTCATCTCTTGATGGAAGTTGTTAGAAAATGACATTTCAAAAGCCACAGATACAGGAAGGATTGTGATTTTTTTTTTTTTTTTT